TAACCAGGACACATTAACAGATCACAAGAATGACTAAAGACAGTCTTAGGTAATATCATAGTTCTTAGTTTGGCCAGCTGATGAGATAAAAATGCTATGAACAGAGATAGGAAATAGAGGAGGAGAGGTAGGTTGAAGAAAGATAAATTTGCCCTGGCTGGTTTGACTCAGCGGTTAGAGCGTCGCCCCACAGACCAAAGGGTTTCAGGTTCAATTCCCTGTCAAGGGCATGTACCCAAGCCCCAGTTGGGGTCATGCAGGAGGCAACCAATTGATGTCTCTCACATCGATGTTTCTCTCTCTCTCTCTCTGTATATAGATAGATATAGATATAGATATAGATATAGATATAGATATAGATATAGATATAGATATAGATATAGATATAGATATAGATATAGATATAGATATAGATAGATATAGATCCCTCCCTCCCTTCGACTCTCTCTAAAAATCAATGGAAAAATAACCTCGGGTGAGTATTAACCAAAAAAAAAAAAAAAGGATAAGTTCATCTGGGACAATGTGTGAAGACAGACAGGTAAGGAACCCCTGCTGTGGCTGGGAAATGGGGTCTGAGGTTCAGGAGAAATTGAAAGTAATAGAAGGGTCTGAGCCTGCTCAGGGAGAAGTTTTGGTTGAGATTAATATGTAATTTGCTTTCAAGAGTGATAAATGATATAACTTCAATTATTTAAAAAGGAAACCAAGAGATTAATGATACATGTTAAATTAAGAGATAACCAAGGAAAAAATGGAAAATCAGGATTCAAAATTTCTATTTTTGATACCTGAACACTTTGAGAAGGGCTGCTAAAAAATGACTATAGTAACACGAATTCCCAATTCCCAATTAATACTCTTCTCCAAGCCACGACTGGTTTATGAGTTGAGGCCTTGGGAAATTCTTCTGCTCCAGGCCTCAGTTATCTCACCTGTAAAGCAGGGTTGCTGAGAAGATTAAACAATTCCTGCAAAGCACTCAGCATAATGCTTGGCACATAAAAAGTGTGCTGTAATTTATTTTATTTTATTTTTTTGGTACGTACCCCTAGTGGGAACCGAACCTGGGACTCTCCGGTCCACAGGCCGATGCTCCAACCGCTGAGCCAAATTGACCAGGGCAAAAGGGTGCTGTAATTAAAAAAAAATTTTTTTTACAGGGAACAATCTTGCTAGAAAATAGACCATAAAAATTATCCAAGGAAACCACCATTGAAAAAACAAGTAAAGACAGTAACTGCAAAGACAAATCTATTCAGATCGTCCCTTATTACTACTCCCAGAATACCCAGAATGGGAGTGTGTCTTTGGCCTGGCATGCCACCTAGTATAACTACAATTCTGCAAAACATTCCTTGTATTCGTTTTCTATCGCTGTGTAACAAATTACTACCAACTTGGCGACTTAGTGCAAATTTATTATCTCAGTTTCACAGTATGACGAGATACTCTACTTCGGGTCTCACTGGGCGGAAACCAAGGTGTTGGCTGGGGCTGTAGTTCTTGGTTCTCATAGGGCCGTCTTCCAAGCTCACAGGTTGTTGGCAGAATTCATTTCCTTGCAGTTGTAGAACTCAAGTCCTGGTTTTCCCTTTTAGCAGTTGGCTGGTGATCACTCAGCAACTGTAGGCTGCCTGCAGTTCCTAATCACATGGGCCCCATAGGCAGTTCACAACATAGATGATTTTCTCCCAGGCCCAGGATGGACTCCTCAGGCATTCAGTTCCCCTCCTGCTTTTAATCTCTGACTTTTCAGGTAGGTCTCCGACCTCTAGGCCAAGATTTAATAGGCTCAGGTGATTATCCCATCTGGATAATCTCCGTATTTTAAGGTCAATTGATCTGGGACATAAAATACACCTACAAAATTCTTTCCCAGCAGCACTTAGATTGGTATTTGATTGAATAACTGGGAGAAATTGTGTGTACACTAGGGATCTGGGAACCTTGAGGACCATTTTAAGAATCCTGCCTACCACATTCCTGAAACACGTGCAAGTTCAGTCACAAGACTGAGCAGTGATTTTTAGTGGCCTTGCTGCAGTTAACATTTGCCCTTTGGGCTATTTCTCTACACTCCATTTACATTTGAATGACGAGTTGCTGAATATCCCAAGACAAAGACATGCATTTGGAAGAGTGACATATTTTCTCTGGGTGCTCTTAGGATACCTCTGAATGATGTGAAATTATAGGTCTTTCACCTCTGTGCCCCTAACACCTATATAATCATTGAGTCAAGGCAAGGATTTATCTATCATTAAAAAAAAAAAAATGTTTTTCACTCAAAATTGCTTGCTGTTCCTGACTTAAGATTTGTGAAGTGTCTGTTTGATCGATGTAGTTCCAGCAATAAATCAGTTGAGGCCAAGGCTGGTTTGAGGGGGTACTTAAACATATGCTTGCCCTGAACATATGTTTAATTTAGGAGCAATATGTTTTATGTTGTCAAATCACTGGCTTCATTCAAGAGGCCCCTAATTCAGACACAGCCAGGCTGAGGAACCAGTAATAAAGAGTGAGGAGCAAATGCTGAGGGTGGAGTTGAAGTATAAATCGTGGCTGAGATGGTTAACCTCTAGGGCCACCAGAGACAGCTGTCTCTGAAATTGGTCTCAGCCGAGTGAAATTCCTGAACTTTTCGGGTTCATGTGTATTTGGAACACTCTAGTACTGACAACAGCAGCTGTCTCAGCACTTGGTCTAGGGAAAGTGAGACCCATCACCTCTTCAACACAGAGTGAGACCCGATAGTCAATGTATACTTGGGTCTTTTAATATGTTCATACTGTTAGCTGGTCACAGGATTCCAGACTAGTCAATGCAATACATGAAAGAAACAAGAGATGGTATAAATGATTTTCTAGATCATCTTGAGATACCTACATTTACACTATGTAAAATTGAGCTAATAGGTATCATAGGCATCATGAAAAGTGTCAGTGTTCACATGGATGTGCACATTTGGTCTCTGTTACAAGGGAAACTGTAAGTACATTTTAAATTACCCATTTTTGTACTTTTTCTCTTCTTTGCTAAAGATAATTACGAGTCTTTATACACTCTCATTTCCATGCTGTTTAGAGACACTAAAACCCATAAATCATAATTAAGCTGGTGTTCTTACATTACTGAGTGAATAATCCATCGGTTCTGGAGCCTGTTTATTCTGCTCACCCCACTTCATCCCCAACAAAGAGGAAGATAATAGGGGCACTAAGTGCACTTCCTGCATTGCAGAACTAAGGTGATGTCTTTTTTCCTCCGAAGACAGGAGTCATCCTTAAAATAAATAGATCTCTGACTTAGCACTGGCAGAAATCAAATTTTGCAATACACTTCAAAAAAAAAACAAAAACAAAAACAACTTTTAACTACAAATTCTAAATTAGTTTGGAGAGGGAGGGAGAGTGGTTATCCCCACATAAGTGCCTATAGACATGATAGAACAATACTTTGCTCACATAGTTAGAACCAAATAGTTTGGCAATATACATGGTGAGCAGAAGGGTTTATTTGAAAAACAAAAACTCTCATTTCCTTGCAGTACAAATTCTGAGAAAGATGTACAAATTACAAGGGTTAGCAAAAGTAGGTTTTCAGTTGTAACAGAAATAATACAATTTAAATAAATACTAATACAAGAATAAACTGTTTCACGTACTCACAACTGTAAACCTACTTTTGCCCCACCTTGTATAGGTAAGTTTGAGTTATTCCATTTATCCAGTAGGTCAACTAAGTTAGATCTGTATTTTTCATTTAAACTAAGAAAGTGTTCAGACTTCAGGTGTCTATCAGAACAGCTTGCTTTTTAAAGCAGCAGTAACTTGTCTTCATTTATATTTTAGAGGACGAAAGATCATTTATCATGGGCCCTCTGTGGTCCCTTCTAACTTAATACTTCTATCCTCATTAACATCACATAGCTGAATTGTACATTTAACATAAATAATACCTTGCTATATATGTTGAAATGTCTTTCTCAGTTGCATAGATAATATATAGCACCACCCATACCATGAACTTTGATATAGAGAATGCAAAGTATTACTATCATTTGTGAGGCGTAACAGACTTAGGCACTTATACTTAATACCAGAAAAAGTAAAGGTACCTGCTTAAGGTGTCATTCAAAACTTACACACTGTGATTGGCAGCTGAATTGAAGAGTATCTTTCTGGTCTGAAAAATTGCTACATATAGCTTTATAGAGAAGCCATGGTGTACCAGAAAGAAAAAAAGTACTGGTGGGAGGCACAGACTTCTTTTAGGTATGAACTGCCTAACTTTTAGTCCTTATCTCATAAGCATCTCAATTTTATCACAGAAACATTTCCAGTGCTAGTGTATGTTGGGGGGGAGGGGGCACAAAAAACATCTTTTTTTCTTTACAAAAAGTATTCCTCTCAAATATTTTAGCACTTAAGTCTACTATTGTATGTTTGTTTGTTTTTATTATCTAATTGTTCCATGAAGGCAATTCTTGCCTCTTTGGAACCATCCTAGTTCTGAAAGACTAGAACACCTAGACAAGAACAAATCTTAGCTCCATCACTGACTTGTTGAATGACCCTGGGCCAATCACTAGGACTCTCTTTTTTAAGATTCACTTACCAGGAATGAAATAAGCATCTTAGAGTATCTGTGAAACTCTAGTAAGGTGATGGATTTGTTAATGCCTTGGGAAATATAAGCAGTGCACAGATACAGTTTTATATAATTCTGCACATTGCATGACGCCTGTCCAGGGTTAGGTAAATTAATAGCTATTGATCCATTATGGTAGAAGTAAAAAGACCTGATTTTCCCATTTGGTTTATCATTTCCTCTTTATTTTATTTTTTTGAACTTGATTTCAAAGAGAAGGGAGAGAGAGAGAGAGAAACATCAATTTACTGTTCCACTTGATTATGCATTCATTGGTTGATTCTTGTACTATGTGCCTTGATCAAGGATCAAACCCATAACCTTGGCGTATCGGGAGGACACTCTAACCAACTGAGCTACCTGGCCAGGGCTTTTTAAAAAAGTATACCTTCCTTCCCCAGGTAAGACAAAGAACCTGTTCTGTTCTCTGAGGAATTTATTGGTCCTTGTGGAACCCTAGAATGCCACAAACACTCATGGCCAAAAATGCCAACTGTTTGTTTTTTCAGTCCAGTAGTATCTTCAGAACTGTAGTATATCAATGTCCATGTGTCTGTCCAGAACGTCCATAAGCCCCTTGCTCTGTGTATCATGGGGACAGGGAAAGATGACAAATTCACCGGTGATACTTTCAAACAACGCGGAAGGCCTTCCCTTTGGGGTCTGACAGGATGACAACACCCCAACAAGCAATGCCTAAGAAAAAAACAACAGTACCTTATGCGGATGTTGCATTTTAGTTTACCAGGTGCTTTCATATATGTCCTCTTATTTAACACTCAGAGAACTCCTAGAAGATACAGAAGAGTGAAGCTCAGAAAAGGACAGAAAAAGTTAAGGAAAAAAAATTCTTTTACTTCCACAATCTAGAAATGAACTTAAAGGGAACTGATGCGAACTATCTTGTTACAAAGAGATATGAAAACTTAAAATTCTATTCACTTCATTGGTCTGAAAAGCTAAGTGTCCTGGATATCTTGACCATCACTTAGTATAACTACAGATAAGGGCTGTGGACTGCAATACCCAGTGGCATACCTAATATGTGGGCGTTGAACCCAGCTCTACAATCTGACTTCAAAGCCCACGTTCTGGTTCTGAATTAAGTACCCTTCTCAGGCTTTCTCCAGGACCTGGAGAAGAAACATGGGCTTTGGTGCCAGATAAACCTGATGAAAGGCTAGCTGGGTGTCTGACTTTTACAGGATCAATTTTTACTTCTGTGTCTTAGTTTGTTCAGCAGTAAACTGGGACTACTATCTCTAACAGTTATTGATAAGATTAAGATGACAAGCTAATGAGAATTTTCAAGAAATACTGATTTTTAAGAAGCAGCGTCCCAACAACTTCTCACCATCCCTGTATCTCCTTTGGAGTGGCTCTCACCAGACAACCAGGCCTAGCGCCCCGCCCCCACCCAATGGCTGCTCGGCTTCTCTCCCCTCCCCAGGGCCCCTGCCCGACTCTCACTGATGCCGATGACCATCTGCATAACAGTCCCTGGACTCGAGGGCACTCCCATCTTCATTGGCTTCCGTGCAACCCAGTACACGTACCCGCCCGCCCCTATCAACCCCGACCCGGAGAGCACGCGACAGCTCCAGCAGTTATTAAACGTGCGGCGTTGTTCTGGAGAGGTCGGGGCCCCGGGTGCTTCGAGGGGCGTAGGGTTGGCGGAAGAGGCAGTCTCAGGAGGCGCGGCGACCTTGACAGTGTCCAAAGGCTGGGACATGAAAGAACCCATGTTCAGGAACTCGACTGCAGTGGTAGGCGCCTTCGGAATTGAACTGACGTAAAAGATGTGGCCGGAAAGCGAGGCATCGGTGCTGCGCCGGCAGCCCGAGGGCCCCTGGGAAATGTAGTTCCGGCTTGCGTCCGAAGGGGACAGGACGGTGGGAGGCGGTGCTGCAGTGGTGCATTTTGGTGGTCAGCTCCTTGAACATGCTAATAGCACATTTCCCCCCAAATCCCTGTTAGAAGACTGATTTAACCAACTCCCTAAATAGCTCAATTCTCAGTCTCCTCAGAGAAGACTGGGTTTATTATTTTCCTATCTACATTGAAAGGGGAAGTGGGACCTTGGGCACTTTACTTCACCTGTATGGTGGAACACGTGACACAAACGAGTTAGGCTTTATATGTGCTTAACTGCAAGCCACACAGTTTGCTAACCAATTATCTGTATTATACCATTTAATATTCCGAACCCAAGGCGTATTAGTTTCCCAATATATAACAAAACTAGTTAAGTGACATAATCATGGTTGAAACCACTGTGAAAACAGTAACATTTTTTAAATGGCTACTTGTACATACTGTGAAGGGACTACACAGATATAATACAGGTATTAAAAATGGGTTTGAGTTACCTATGTAAATACTTTCAGTTTCTCTTTAGCTTTTTTCCTAAACGTCATACTCTCAGTTTTTTCATACCCATGATATTGTTTCTGCTTTGAGATCCCTGGAGAAAATTCATCTCAAGATTGGGCCCACTGATCTGAGGAGTTAATAAAGGATTTGTTCTTACAGGTTTGCATTCGTATCATCCCTTAAGCATGGATTTTTAATTCTGATTGCTTCTTTGCAATTCAACTTCTATATTATCCACTCCCAACTTATTCACCTTTCATTTTATGTGGGTAGAATTGGGCATATATTTCTGGGGCTGCGTTGTTCAGAGAGGACTGGTAAGAAAGAAAGGCATTTAGAGTTCAGAGATTGTTTCTGTTAGAGGAGATATGTGAAAATAGGATTAATTTCAGGTTTGAACCTTTATTGGAATGACTTAAAAATTAACATGATAAAAAATAAATTTACTATTCTTCATTCTAAAACAATATGTGATTTTGAGAAGGCTAAGAATACAAAAATAAAGATATGGATAAATAAGAAAGACTAAAGTAATATAAGAAAATACCAGTGAGGACATTGGGTTGGCCTGATGCTTAATTTTAAAGACCCTCCCCATTTTGTTACACACACACATATATAATTATGTGTTGTATAGTAGAAAAACAAAGATTTGGGAAATTTGGATTCTATACCTGGCCCTGTCACTGTGAGTCAGCCGTATAACATAGAGAACATTTTTTATTCTCTCCGGCTGTAGTTACCTCATGTTTAAATAAGGAAATTTGGAATAGGTAATATTCAACATTCTTTCCTAACTTGAAAATTCTATTATTTATTAAGAATCTCTCTTCAGATAGTATTGTGCTAAATGCCATACCAAATAAATTCAGTAGTATTTCACTTAGAAATTCATAATTTATGGCTGCTGCTTCCTGCCATGCCTGTTAAAACATTCTATAACGGATGTGAGTTCTCTTTATTTATGAGAAAACATTTCACCTTTTGGCAGTGTTACCAAACATTTTGATTACACACCTCTATGAATAAAAAAGATTAAGCACACCATAGCATTTATGTATGCCTATTTATTATAAATTATATATTAATATACAACTTTATTATGAGACTAAGATAAAATAATATAAATTAAAATTCCAATATTTTCTTACATCTCACTATCTGGAATTGTGCATTTTCATGGATGCCATAGTTATTTGACATGTAACTTTACTAATTTATATTTCATCTAGAAGTTTATCTTTTTTAATGTGTTTATCACAATTAAGAATGCCTGGAAAGAACATGTTTAATTCTCCAAGCAAATATTATTAAGGTAGCCCACACATACTTTCCAAGTAACAGGAAAGATTTTATTTTAACCACTGTTTTTTTAATTTTTTAAAAATAATTTTTTCTTTATTGATTATAAAGAGAGAGGAAGTGAGAGGGAGAGAAAGATAGAAACATCAATGAGAGAGAATATCAATTGGCCACCTCCTATATGCCCCCCACTGGAGATCAGGCCCAGAACCTGGGCATGTGTCCTGACCAGGGATTGAACCTACGAACCTACGACCTCTGGTGCATGGGTTGATGCTCAATCACTGAGCCACACCAGCTGTATTAACCACTGTGTGTGTGTGTGTGTTTTTTTTTTAAGTAATTTCAAAAGATGAACTTATTCTCTTATGATTGTCTCCAATGAATTATTTTAAGTTTTTTGTTGTTGTTGTCGTTATTGTGATAGCCCTCCAAAATTCAACAGTGGCTTCTATGGAATACTCATTTTAGAACTGCACATAGCACATATTTAAATTGAGGTATATTATTACAACTTGATTGAAAAATTATTAGAAAAGTTAAGATACCTCTTGAGTTAAGATAAATAAAATCATAGGGTCTGAGGCCAATGAAAACAAGCAAAACTATAATTGGAGGAAGTAAAAAAGAGGACAAGGTTGAAACCTAACTTTATGTCATTATCTCTATAGTATTTACTTATTTTACTACTTATTATTTCTGTAATTAACTTTGGCAGTTATGAATTCACAAGGCCTTATGACCTCTCCTATCAATTTTTAAATTTTAAAAATGCAAAAGGCATAAAAAAGGTATATACTAAAAAGTATCCTTCACACTCCTCTCCCCCAGCCACCCAGTTCCCCTTCCCTAACACAGCCAGTCTTAGTGTCTTATGTGTTCTTTTAGAGATGTCTGTGTATAGATGTATATTCCTTCTTCCAATAACTTTGGAGATCATTCCATATTAGTTATATTAACTGGCTTCATACTGTTAGAAAACAATAGATGTTTAGGCTGCTTCCATTTTTTTACTATTACAAGTAGTGCCATAGTATATAACCTTGTGCATAATATCATATAATAAGCATATGATTATATCTTAGAATATATTTCTTAAAGGTAGGGTATTTATTACCTTGATGTACATTACCAGTTTCTTTTCACAGAAGTTGTACCAATTTATACTCTCACCAACAATTAAGAGACCTGTTTCCTCACTCTACTTCTCTACACAGTCAATTACAGAACTTTGATTTCTGCCAATCTTATAGGTAAAAATGGTTTAATTTTTTTTATGAGTGAACTTTTTAATGTATGTCTAAGAGCAATTCCTAATTCCCTTTTTTGTGAACTTACAATATTTCTGTCCATTTTTTGTTAGATTGTCTTTTTCTCATTGACTTCTAAAAACTAGTGAGGTTAACCTTACGTTTATTATATAAATTCACATTTCTGTCCTCCCAATTTGATATTGGCCTATTGACTTTGCTTACTGTACTTTTTACCAGGCACATTTTTTAAAAGTGTAATTGCATTTGTCAATCTTTTCTCAAAGCTTCTGAATTTCATGTCATAATTAGAAAGGTCTTCCACTTTTTGTGGTTTCCACTGGCATTTGGATCTTTTTGTCCCCCTACTTCAAAGTTTAATATATTGGGAATTTATCTTATTATTAGATGCAGGAATAGAAGCAAACCTTCTTTTCTTTCTTTTCTCTCTGACTCATTTTTTTTATTCTCACCCGAGGGAGAGAGGGAGGAAGAGAGACACATCGACTGGCTGCCACCCACACGGCCCCATCCGGGGCCAGGGACAAACTGCAACCAAGGTACATGCCATTAGTGGGAACTGAACCTGGGACTCTCAGGACTGTCGGCCAACACTCTAACCACTGAGCCAAATCGGCCAGGCCCTTTCTGACTCATTTTTCTCAACACTATTTATTAAGTAATCCACCTTTCCCCCACATATTTGCAATGTCACTTTTTCTAAAATGTCATATGTAGATGTATATTACTGGACTTCATATTATTACAGTGACATTATTACACTTTTTTAATTACTGAAACTCTGTAATGTGTGACTACTTGAACACTGCTTTCCCCTTATTACTCTTCTGTTACAGACTTTTCTTGGCTATTTTTACTTGTTTATTTTTCCACATGAACTTTTGACTCAGCTTGATTATTCTGACAAAATGAGGTTGACATTTTTATTAGACTTGTGTGAAAATTGTGGTTTAATTTAGAGAGAATTGACATCTTTATGATGTTGAGTCATCCTGTCTGAGGACATGGGATGCTTTGTCTTTTGTTCTTATCTTATTTTGTAGCATTTTAAAGTTTTTTGGTGTTTTCTTTTAATAATGACCTCATACATTTTCTCTCAGACTTTTCATCTTTTTTGTTATTATTGAAAATAAGGATTTTTTCCTTTCATGTGTTGTCTAACTGGTTGTGTTTGAATTCAAAAACTCTACTTCCATGTATCCTGATATTGAATTATCAGTACCTTCTGGTGAACCTTTGATATATGGTTGATAGTTTTCTTTTTGTGCAATCCTTATTGATTTTGGAGATAACTTTTATGCCCACTTCATAAAAAGAACTTGGGAGCATTCCTTGTGTGTATTTTTATTTATTTATTAATTTAATTTTATTTAGATTTATCTTTCTTGTTGAAAGTATTACTGATATCCATCCTTTTTACCCCATTGACCCCTCCAACCCGCTCCCCTACCCAGGCCTTCATCTCACTATTGTTTGTGTCCATCCATGGGTTATGATATATGCATATAAATTCTTGGGCTAATTCCTTCCCACCCACACCCACCCCTCCTTTTTTTTTTTTTTTTTTTTTTTCCTGTACTCTGTAACAGTTAAACCACCATTGGAATAGTCTGCTCTTTAAAACTTTTGTTAGAATTTCCCCATGGAATTGTCTAGTCCAGGCACTTTATTATTTGGGGGAAGGGAAGAGAAAGGGGGAAGGAAGTTTCTCTGATACCTCTCTTTATTTGTATTTTGAAAAACTGCCTTACCTTAGATTAATCAAAGTGCAAAACCATTTCTGCGGGAAATAGTTTGGGCAAGTTACACATTTCTGAAATA